AACGGACACGATACGCATGGCAGCCACCTCGACCCTGACTGAGTTCGAGAGGGATACCCTCCGCTCACCAGCCAGAAAAAGACAAATTTCAAACCTATACATAACATTAACCACACACCACACTCAGGTGGCCCTTCCTTACATAGCAGCATGGGAAAATGACCTGGGACCCCTTGAAGATCCCACCGAATGGGCAGACATATGGGCATCCATCAAATCCATATCAATCTGCGTCACCCACAAAGAGCAAGCCTACAAAAGGCTCTTTAGGTGGTACCTCACCCCCCTCCGCCTAAAGGCAATGAACCGAATACCCAATAACCTTTGCTGGAAACTGTGTGGCGAAACCGGCACTTTCCTCCACTGCTGGTGGACATGCCCCAAACTCACTCCTCTATGGAAAACAATTACAACACTCTTAACTAGAATCCTTAACAAACCAGTATCCCTGGACCCCTGGGCTCTCCTACTCTCTAAACCCATTGACACCTTCAATGAAAACAAACTTATTGCTAGAATAGCATTGGCCACACGCAGAGCAATAGCTGAAACTTGGTCCACACCACACATACCCACTCAACTCCAAATAAACACTACAATAACTGACAACATAGCCATGGATAAGCTGACAGCACAAGTTCATGATACCCCAAAATCATTTCATAAAGTATGGGACCCATGGCTAGAAGGACACAACGCACTCCCATGGTGACACAAGGCTACCACACAACCCACTCCGCCAACATCAACCCATAACAAAAGACAAAAATGCCGCTCATCTACCCAACCCCTAACCCAGTCCACCTACTCGGAGCTCCGGGGGTTAACCGGGGGGCAGCACCCCACCACCTGCCCCTTTGAACACCCACCCTTCCCCCCTCCCCTACCCTCTACAAACCCACCTCCCCTTCCCTACCTTCCCTCTGACTAGTGACCTTACCCATGAGCCAGGCACTGCTGACCCAACGCTACATAACTAACTATCCTACAGCAGCGACCTACACTGACGCCAACCTCCACCTAAAAACGACCATCTACGACAACCCTGGCGGAACAGATATACAAGCTCTATACTATCCTCCGACAGAGTTAACGAACAGGACCAACACACAACACAACGTTCTGCATCCCAACTACGGCCTCCTCATTGAAGCACGAATACAAATGACACAAACAGAGGAGCTGACTATACGATCCCCTACAAACAGAGGTCCGCGATAGCCAGGAAAGTTAATGACGCTCCGGCCCAAAGAGCCAGACCCGAAAGCAAACAATCCAATGTCGTACCCAATTGGTATCTCCCAAATAACCACCCTGTTCTTTTCTTCTTTCTGTACAAACGTTCAAATGTGCATATGAAACATGAAAATGAAAATAAAGAATCTTAAAAAAAAAAAAAAAGGATGGCTCTCTTGTTTATATAAATGTTTATTCTGCCCCTATTTTTTCATTACATTTGCAAACTTATTATATTTGATCTACCTCTATTCAGACATGCCTTGTAGAGTCAAACACACTCTCCTAAACAACTGCAATAGAGCTAGTAGGACAGTTGTATGCCAATTGAGAATATCCTTTACTGCATATCATTGTGTTCCGTCTCTGTGACATGCTGGCTTCTGTTACCACTTCCTCAAATTATGTGACTCCTAATAAGTCAAAGTAGAAGGAGATGGGTAGTAAGCAGTGCTATCATTCACTGTGCAACGTGTGAGAGCAGAGAAGAAACACCTGTTGCAGTATTAAATCTCAGTAAGGTTTTGTCAATGCTGGTGTTCTTTGCTAACAACAACACAGGCAGCTGCCATCTCCCTAGAGGGAACTCTCAGCTTCAGTGAGATTTAGCTTTGATAATCTATGAAATCAGATCTGTCCTCTTATGAGACTGCTTCATTTACTCTGTAATCAGTGTCCCTTTCCCTAACTAGCTGTGCTAACAGAACAATATGAAAATATCTGTTGATTTGTCTATCTATACACAAAGTGTAGAGGTTAATGTTTAGTGATAGTTACATAGTTACATAGGCTGAGAAGAGACATGTGTCCATCAAGTTCAACCTTCCTCACATCTGTTTTTGCTGTTGATCCAAAAGAAGGCCAAAAAACAACAATCTGAAGCACTTCCAATTTTGCAACAAACTAAGAAAGAATACCTTATTGACCCCAGAATGACAGTCAGTGAAGTGTACTATAGGGATTAATGTTTAGTTTAGTGTCTTAGGGGTTAAAAGGATGCCTTAAATGTAGCGGCAGCACTAGAACATTCATATCCTAACAATGCATATGATTAATGAGAGTTACAGTCCAGGACTATTTCATCTGCCATCATTAAAATGCTGGCAGGTGTCACTCGGGAGAATAACTCCCACTAATTTCAGGCAGACTGGGACATACTGGGAAATTATTATTCATTACAAGGAATAATTGGACATGATCTCCCTGTCATTATAATAGCTACAAGACTACAGGAATTTTCTGTGTTTATATATCCTACATTGTATAGTGTGACAGGGTAATAAAGGGTTATACAGGGTAAGTGTAACACACATTGTCATATAATACTGTGAATCATGGGCTCAATAAATCCCAGTTCAGCACTTGAACATACATATACTATGCTGCCTGAGTTTGATAAGAGTTACAATATTGGGTTGCAGAAGTACTTAACGCATGAAGTAAAGGCATGAAGTAAGATGGACAGAATTAATCATTGCAGTCAGAGGCTGCATCCCCAAATGGAGTTCTTCCCTCCCTCTACCTCTCCAGGGCCAGATTAAGAGCCCAGTGGGCCTGGTGCTGACAATTATGATGGGCCTAATTACAAAATCTTATTGCCCAAAAACACTAAAACAGTCCTTCCTCCTAAGCGTCATGTATCTGATGGAGATGGTGCTGGATGGAAACTCATAGGATGCAGCTATGAGAAAACACATACTCTATGCTAATCTCATGCTTTCATTTTTCAAGTAAACCCATACCCCCTAACAGCAGTGTCCAATAAAGCAGGAAGTCTATGGATGGGGTAAAAGGGTGGGCGTCTGACACAAATCACATAACCAGAACTACCGAAAGGGACGAACATACACAAAAAGGGGGCATGTCTGTTTTCCCATGTCTTCCAGTCCCTTAGTGTCTGTGACACCATGTCCCCAGTGTTCCCATGTCACTAAGACACTAGGGGACATTGAGAGACATTGGGACACTGGGAGACATGGGGACACTGAGATACTAGGGAATAGTGGGAGACTGAGACTCTTGGAGACATGGGGACAGTGGGTGACTTTGAGACACAAGGGGACACTGGGGGACATGGGGCACTGAGACACTGTGATACATAGGGGACACTGTGATAAATATGGGAAACTAAAGACTTGATAAAGACCTGGGTCCAGGTCAAAACGTTGCAGTGTCCAATAAACCTACTTAAATCTATCACAGTGAGTGTCTGAGATTTTTGTCTTTTATACTAGGGGACAGTGAGACACTTGGGGGCACTGTGAGACATGGGGACACTGGGAGACTAGAGGACTTTGGGAGACTAGGAAACACTGAGACACTAAGGACACTGAGACACTATGGACACTGTGAGACATGGGGCACTGAGACACTGTGATACATAGGGGACACTGGAGACTTAATAAAGACCTGGGTACAGGTCAAAAAGTTGCGGTGTCCAATAAACCTGCTTAAATCTATCACAGTGATTGCCTGAGATTTTTTCTTTTATACTAGGGGACACTAAGACACTTGGAGATACTGGGAGACATTGGGAGACTAGGGGACTTTGGGAGACTGGGAAACACTGAGACACTAGGGACACTGGCACACTACAGACATTGAGAGACACAATGGACACTGGGAGACATGGGGATACTAGGGACACTGGCTGGGAGACATGGGGACACTGGGAGTGCCCCATGTCTCCCTGTGTCCACCAGTGTCCTCATGTCTCTCAGTTTCCACTAGTGTTTGTATCCCCATGTCTCCCAGTGGCCCTTAGAGTCTTTGTCCCATTGTCTCCCAGTGTCCTGATGTCACTAGGACACTAGGGGACACTTAGAGACATTGGGACACAGGGAGAGACATGGGGACACTGAGATACATAGGGACACTGAGAGACAAGGGGACTCTGGGAGACTAGGGACACAGACACCAGGGACACAACAGGGACACTGGTAGACACCAGGGACACTGAGGCACTAGGGACACTGGCTGGGGGACATGGGGACACTGAGCGACTAGGGGCCACTGGGAGACATGGGGCCACTGTGTCCCTAGTGTCTCAGGGTTTCCATGTTCCCCAGTGTCCCTATGTCTCCCAGTGTCCCAATGTCTCAACGTCCCCAAGTCTCTCACCGTCCTCATGTCTCGCAGGCTCGGAGCTGCTGTCTGGATTCTCTGTGCAGAGCTGCTTTCCCGTGGATCAGTGACCAGAGAGAGGCAGGGAGGGAAATGCTGTAACTTCTTATCCCTGCAAACAGCGACCCCTACTGGCCAGCACTGGTATTGCAGAAAAATCTCTGTTTATACAGAGACAAACATTTGTATTGCCGGTATTACTGCAATACCAGCACCGGCTAGGCAGCCTCAAATACCTGAGAAATACTTCTGAGAAATACCTGGCAACCATAAAAAATATATAAGAAATACTTGGCAACCCTAAGAGTAGTGTGTGTAAAAAATAAATAAATACATTTTTGTTTGCTTTTTAAATCAATGGGCCTATTCCATGGGCCTGGATCTGGAGCTGCAGCTCCATCAGCCCCTATGTTAATCCGGCCCTGCATGTTTGTGCCCAAGAGGACCGTGCTACCTGCAGACAAGGATCACATCTGGTACATTTATGCATTTCTGGTGGTCATGTCATGCTTTTACAGCCTAATGGGAGGAAGTTAAGGCAACCATGGAAGCAATCATTATTGTTATAAGTAAGAAAAAAAACTAAAAGGAAATATATTTAATAAAGATTGTTTAAATTAAAAATAAATAGCTTGCTCAATGCTGTTGGGGCTGAAACTGTGAGCATACATTTGATAAGGAAGTATTTCTAGCATGAGAGGCGTGGCTAAGGAGGTAGGCTTATGGTGCAGTATTCTGCCAATATTTATTTATTTTGTGCAAAAGGTATAAGGATTTTTAGCATGCAAAACATACAGCATATTAATGAGGCCAAAAGCTTTGAAATGCAGTAACGTTGTATTGGTGCCCGTAGTGCCCCTTTTAAACACGGTTCCTTTTCTCCTTTTCAGTTGCTAAGCTAATTTACCCACTATCCACTAGTAATAGAATCCCTCAGAAAGGCAAACTGCAGATGTCATGGACAGAGGAAAACTAAATAAAGGCATGACACAATATAATAAATATAAAACCTATTTACAAGGAGTGGGTGGCATAATTATTAAGATACAAATAGTGATCTCCCGAACGGTTCGCCGAACGGTTCGCCGAACGGTTCGCGAACGGTTTGCCGAACGGTTCGCGAACGGTTCGCGAACGGTTCGCCACAGACTCATCATTGAGTAAACTTTGACCCTGTACCTCACAGTCAGCAGACACATTCCAGCCAATCAGCAGCAGACTCTCCCTCCCAGACCCTCCCACCTCCTGGACAGCATCCATTTTACATTCATTGTGAAGCTGCATTCTTAGTGAGCTGTCCAGGAGGTGGGAGAGTCTGGGAGGGAGGGTCTACTGCTGATTGGCTGGAATGTGTCTGCTGACTGTGAGGTACAGGGTCAAAGTTTACTCAATGATGAGTCCGTGGCGAACCGTGCGCGACAAACCGTTCGGCGAACGGTTCGGGACATCACTAGATACAAATGACATAAGGACAGGTAAACTGAAAGTCGTGACATTGCTGCTTTAATGTTAGTGGATAAGTTACAACAAACCCATGCATTTAAGGGACTTTAGATTTATTAAGTGTACCTAGAGTTTAAAAGAAATGTACAAACAGATAGGAGATAGTCCTATCTATTTTGATTCACCGTAACATCATATGCTAAGTTTTATGATAGATATTTGTTTTTTCAGATGACATTCACCATATTGATGCTGGCTTGGAGATAAATACAGACCCTCCCACCTCCTGGACAGCATCCATTTTACATTCATTGTGAAACTGCATTCTTAGTGAGCTGTCCAGGAGGTGGGAGGGAGGGTCTGCTGCTGATTGGCTGGAATGTGTCTGCTGACTGTGAGATACAGGGTCAAAGTTTACTCAATAATGAGTCCGCGGAAAACCGTTCGTGGTGAACCGTTCGGCGAACCATTTGGGACATCACTACAGCCTACCCATTAATTCTCAGGCCAGAACACAAGGTGGATCTCATTCTATCTTTTGATTTGAGTGAAGGTGACCCATTTCTGGTAAGAGAATGTGTCTGTTATATTAAAATATATATATATATATATATATATATGTATGTATGTACGTACGTTTGTGTATGTTTTTCTGTCTTATTACATTTATTTTACTCATCATTGTATTATTGTGATTTTGTTATCCAGACATTGACTGAAGCTGAAGAATATTGTTCGAAAAATAACATCCAATTTCCTAAGATAAACATTAAAGAGGAAGAAATAAATATCCAATCAAAAAGCTGCTACATATTGGGAACGATGTAAATGTTGTGCCTGTGGTGATGCATTTCCCACTTTTCAACAAAATGATTGGGAAGTTTAGTTTAATTCACTAAATAGTACCTTGATAATTAATCTGCTGTAAAAAATCAGTTATCAATAATATCAATCAACTCATCAACTTACTCCCCATGGTAACTCAAATGGACTTTCTTGGACTTCACTCAATCAACTGTGTAGGATCATTAAAGTAATATTATAATCATCTAAAGACATGGTAATTCTATCTGTGTTTTAAATGAACACTGCACTCACTCTATCTAAATTAATTTGTTATAGTGCCTACAGTGGCTCCCCCATGTCATAGTTTCAAATTTTTAAATATTTTAATAGTTAGAAGCTTGGCAGGCTTCAAACCTCACCTCCAAGAACTCTGGATTGGAGAACCAGGGCTGTTACTAACCGGCTCTGAAACCTAGGTGAGCCATGGCATTAGAGTATTCATATAAGCAGTAACTTATGTGAATGTTTGGATGGCACTAAAGATAGTAGTTGGCCATCTCACCAGTGAAAACTTCACATCTGCCTTGTTTATTTCTAACATAAAAGTCTCTAAAAATAGAATAGAGTCCAAAAAGGATAACAATTATTTTGTAAACATATATATTACCAGTTTCTGACAAACATGTAATGTAATCCCGTTATGTCCCATGGTACTTTTCTTTAAATGGATACTATAGTGCTAGGAATATAAAGATGTATTCCCAACACTAGAGTTCCCCGTTCCCCTCCACCCCCTGCCCCTTCAGTGTAACAGTTAAAAAAACCTTTAAAAAAACCCTTACTCTTCTTCCAGCCCCGATGTCCTTTCAGTGCCTCAAGCGCATTAGGCCCTGTCGATAGGAAAGCAGTGCTTCAATGTTTTCCTATGGGGAAATGATTGATGCTGGGTGTTCTAATGCAGAGTGTGAGAACGTCCAGTGTCAGGTGTCCAAAAGTCACTTAACCACCAGTAAGTGCCTCTAGAGACAGTCTTTTTCAGAAACTGCAAAGAATTACAATTGCACGATTAAGGAGTCAGGGGCAGTGCACCCAGACCACTTCAAGACACACGCAGTTTGCACTGTATATTTTACAAACCTTAAGTGTGCTACGGCTGTATAATACTTCATATGTTGCTCATTTAAGTTCATCTGAGTACATCAATACCCCTGTATGTACCTTTGCCAGATATATGTGGATGCTGAAGGGGCACATTTAAAACACAGCCATTCCAATTTTTTTTCAAACTTTGAATTTTTATGCTGGGTCCATGTCCCATTTTGGAGTAATAAGCATTAGTGATGTCCCGAACGGTTCGCGAACGGTTTGTCCCGAATGGTTTGCCACGAACGGTTCGCCGCGGACTCATCATTGAGTAAACTTTGACCCTGTACCTCACAGTCAGCAGACACATTCCAGCCAATCAGCAGCAGACCCTCCCTCCCAGACCTTCCAACCTCCTGGACAGCATCCATTTTGAAACTGCATTCTTAGTGAGCTGTCCAGGAGGTGGGAGGATCTGGGAGGGAGGGTCTGCTGCTGATTGGCTGGAATGTGTCTGCTGACTGTGAGGTACAGGGTCAAAGTTTACTCAATGATGAGTTCGTGGCGAACCGTTTGCGATTTCACTAATAAGCATTTGTTTCCCTTTTTAAAACTGTTTTTAAACTTATTAAACTTCTTTTTTTTTACTTTTAACCCCTAACAACTCAAACCTTTATCTGTCAATTCCCTACTAACTTCTACCCGCCCTAGCTAAATAATAATTAAAAAATATTTAAATAACTAATTAAGTAAATGTTGCTCATGAGGGTTAAAAATAAATAAATAAAAGTTAACTTTCAGGGGTAAAAAAAAAATGAGATCACACTAATACTGTTATCTGTATTTGAATCACTGCAGACAGTGATTAAAGAGCAGGCAAGTGGTTAAACTTTATTAGAAAGAAGTGGGGGAGGGAGTGGACATTTAACTCAAAAACTTTTTTTTTTTTTTTTTACAGGGAACATGGAAGGGCAGGGAGGCGGATCTGCAGTCCCTACAGCACATGGTCACTCTGACAGGCTGTCAGAGCAATCACATGTGCAGGGACCGTGCGGTTGGCTGCTGCCCGTCTGCCTCAGATACCGAGGCAGGCTGCAGCAGCATCAACCCCACAATTAGTAATTGATGGAAATTTTTCATCATGCGTTCTTAAGGGTAGGACTACCATGACGTAAAATTTCCATCTAGCATCGCGAAGAGGTTAAAAGCACAACATGATACCACTGGGGTTTGCAGCAACGTAACAACAATAATAATAATGCTTTCCAAGATTCATAATAAATTGTGCACTTATTTATATGATAAGGTGCAGCAGCCTTAGCTATTTTAGCATTTAATTAGTTAGATATAGAAACTGTTTTATTGAATTCTGGAGTATCTGTTGACTTTTTTAATTACCCATCTCCTGCAACACTATCCCAAACCTGCTACCTTTGGGAAGTATGAAATTGGTGCAGGTGGGCAGATCTAAGAAGGGGCATCACAAATTGCATAACTGGAAACACCCATAATGGACGGACAAGTCCAAGAAGCAAACTAAACATGTTAGCCTAGCATCAAGCACTATTGAAGTGCTCCCTGCATGGTTCTAGTGCCCACGGCAAAGTGCCAGTGCATTTAATCATGCACTCATACTGTGCTGTCCAGAGAACTAAGTAGGGATGGAGGAACAGGACCCTAAAATCAAGATACACCAAAAGTGGGGCACTTGGAAGCTTTGTCCTTCCACTTATTTTATTTATTTATAAAATATTTTACCAAGAAGGATACATTGAGATTTCTCTTGTTTTCAAGTATTTCCTGGATCCGCAAAACATTGTACAATAGGGTACAATAAAATACAAAATCAATATTAATACACAATAGATAAAAAGATTTAACATAGAACAGGTAGGAAATATATAAATATTCATATATTGAAGGATACAGGTGTATTCTGTTTTGAGATATGAAGAGAGGGAAGGCTTGGGGAAGATTTGAAAGTGTGCGGGAGGTCGTTCCATAATTGAGGTGCTCTGTAGGAAAAGGAGGATTGGGTTGCTTGCTTTTTATTGAGGTAGACTAAATAAAGTGCACGTACTGGATCAGAGGTTATAGGAGGTGGGAACAGCCTGGGAGAGCATTCTGTGCAGGTAGGGTGGGAGCTTCCCAGAATAGCTCTTAAACACTAGGCTGGAAAGATGAAGGGTGCGTCTGGATTCTAGTGTGAGCCAATTTAGTTCTTTTAGAATGTCTCAATGGTGGGTCATGCAATTACATTGCAGCACAAAGCGGCAGAACTAGTTATACAATGTATTAAGTTTATTAAGGTGGGTTTGCGGTGCAGGTGCATATACTACATCCCCATAATCAATGATTGGCATCAGCATTTGCTGTACAATTTTTTCTTTACTGTAGGGCTTAGGCAGGATTTGTTTCTGTACAGGGCACCTAGTTTTGGATAAAGTTCAGATACAAGTTTTTCTATGTGGAGGCCAAAAGATAGATTGGGGTCTAACAACATACCCAAGTATTTGAAAGAGTGGACTGCAGTCAGTGTGCTATTTGATTTTGTTTTGATGGATAGGTGGGAATTGTGTAAATTGTGTAATTCAGGTACTGTTCCAAGGATCATTGTGACAGTTTTGTCAGTGTTTAGAAAGAGTTTGTTTTTTGTGGTCCACTTTTCTACCTCTGTGAACTGGTCTTGGAGCTAGCCTGAAGCTGCGGTAGAT